GTGGTGGGTGGCGGGGGCGTGGGGCGACTCCTCCCCCACCACCAATCAATCAATCAATCAATCAATCAAACCCCTTTTTCGCATTTTTTGAAAACACCTCACACTTCTGCAAAAAACATGAATTCATTTCTAAAAAAATACAGGTAAACTCACGGACCATATATCTCATGATAAAAAATGACCAAAAAAAATTCCTGCTTTTCTTTATATATATATTTTTTTAATTTTCTTTAAATCCAATTTCGTTTTTGATTTTTTAAAAATCCTAAATAAAGTCGGATTAAAAAATATATATATATGGGGTTGTAGGGCTCAAAATTCCCTACAACCCCATATGTTCTTTTTTTTTTTTTACCTATTATTTAATTCAGGAAAATTCGTGTAAAATCGTGTCCACATTGCGGACCAGGTAGGCCGCGGATGCGGACCCATTTGGGTCCGCGATCCGAGCTCGACCCTGCGGACGCGTTCGCGGGTGTTTCCCTGCTGCCCGCAACTCGCGCTGACAACCCGCCGCCTCCCGCGCTATAAATTCGCGCAACCCTCTCCTCTCTTCTTCTTTGATCTCGGCTGCAATGCTGCGCGAGCTATGCGCGAGAGTCCGCGGCGCCGAACAGGCTCGACAAGCCCAAGGACGGGCGGAGTGACGACGTGGGGTGGACCCGCGGTAGTCTCGGGGCGAAGCTGTCGGAGGGACTGAGCAGTGGTGGGGATTGGACGCCGGCCGCGGCAGGGCCTTGTGGCTATGGTGGTCGGCGGTCTTGGGTGGTTTGAAGGCTGCGCCTAGGGGCGGCAGTTAATTGATTTTTTTGTGTACAAGAAGGACTCACTTTTATCTCCATTGCTGCTTTGTCTATGCATGTTGTGTGTGTGAAGCCCCGATTGATGGGCGTTGGTTGTGCGCACAAGTGAAGTCGAAGGTCCATGGATGATTAGATGTCCTGTCAAGGATTGTTGATTGCATGCATGTATGTGTATATGTACTCGTCCAGGCGGGGATGGGGAAACTGACTTGGGGAACCGTCTGCTTCGGAGTATGAGTGTGTTAGCCCCATTGTTCCCCTCCCCTCCGCGGCCCTTCCTGCGTGCACCCGCAGTCTCGATGTAACTTACTCTCCCTCTCCCCCTCGCCTTTTTCATTTGCGAACTGGTAATCATTGCTTGGATCGTCTCGTCCCCGCACTGGTGACGTCAACCGTCTGCGTCCACGCACGCGGTCGACGCCCCCACGAGGGGAAGAGAGCTTAGATTCCGCCATCTTCCTCCGACGTACTAACTTTGAGAGAGAAGGTTGCATCGAGTGTTATATGGAGTCGATGTTGGTTCGGATAACCGGGAGCGCGGGATCTTGCCCGTGAGAGGACGAAGACCTAGTGAGCCTCCATTCAGTAGTCTCGAAATGTGCAAAACCATAGTGAATCTTCCTCTAGAACATGGAAACATACACCTCCATCATTTTTGTTTTTGGTCCATCTCGAGAGGTACTCTAGTGGAGCTACCTGTTTGCTGTTTGCTGGTCGTAGAACTGTTTGCTTGCTGCTTCTATTTGATAACATGAGGATAGTGATGCTGGTTTTGTGGCTCAGGAGAGGTTGTTGAGGTAGTTCTTCAGTTTTTTTTTTTTTTTTTTTTTTTTTTTTTTTTTTTTTTTTTTTTTTTCAGTTTATTATCAATGTTCTTTGGTCCGCTTTATCCCTGGTGCTACCTGCCGTCCCCTGGCCGGTATCCTGCAGGCTCGAGGGGTCGTAGAAACTTGGCTCTGGTATGCTACGGGTTTCCCCGTATGCCTATAGGTAGGAGTAGTGGTAGGTAGGTAGTGTGTGGTAAAATTAAGAGAAGAGTATAGTTAAAAAAAAAAAAAAAAAGTTTTGTAGTTTTCTAGTTTTGTAGTAGCATGCAGAATTTGAAATTGGCGAGAATATTGGGGTGCTGCAGTGTATCTGGGGGAGAATGTACATATTAGGAGAATAGTACATTCATGATACATGGCCTGGTTCCTTGCATTGCAGCCACAGATTGCTGGTTACAACACAGTGGGTGGGCCCTCTGACCTCGGCGGATGAGACCCTCTTCAGGGGTGTCCCCTTCTTTCTTTTTTTTCTTTTTTTTTTTGTGTGTGTGTGGTGGGGGGGGGGGGGCAGAACTACACGGAAGTCAGGATAACAGTCTGAAATCACACTTGGGGCCAAAAAGAATTTCTAATTGCAATGCGGACACTGTATACAGTGAAATGTACCTGGCTTGTATACATTGCCCGAAATGCAACTTGAAACTTGTTTTGGCCCCAAGTGTAATTTCAAACTGTTTTGGGGACTCCTGGATAGTTACCCCTTTTTTTTTTCTTTGTTTGTATAACAAGTTGCAGCTTATTATATTATAAAAAGCAATGGAATGAGGCGGGGAATCCCTCCACATCTCAACCAGGGGTCTTGAAGCTTGTGCTGGAAACCGGGTCCACTGTCTGATGGTCTGCAACTCCAAAGAAAGTACACGACTTGACCAAAAGAATTCGGAAACAGAAATAAAGGGAGGAAACTTGCCTGGATGTGGCATACTGATAGCACACGGGCCCCAGTTAGGGCCCGGCTCCGTTGTTAGGCTAGTTTAGGCCTAAGGACCAGGGGTCACGGCGGTTCAGACCATAGGTCGAGGCCAACGGCCACAAGCGCCAGGCCGGTACCGGTCCAACACCCAGCACTATATTAGCTGGGTACCAGCCTCAGTAGGGGAGGTTAGTGGACAGGAGGTTAGGCTTCAGGATTAGCGCGACACTTCAGCGTTAGCATGAGCGGCAGCGAGGAGGGAATTAGCGCAGCAGCAAGGAAGAACAGCGCAGCAGCGAGTAGCGCCAGCCTCTGGCCCAGCCCGCGGCCCAGAGCCCAGCCCTGCAGCGCCATTGATGCATCGCCAGGTACCAGGGAGAAAGGCTTCGCCTTCCCTCCCTCTTCTTCCTCCTCCGTTCTCTCTCTCTCTCTCTCTCTCTCTCTCTCTCTCCTCCTACCCTCTAAGTCGCTGTCTACTCTTGGGTGCCTCCTACTGGGCTACCATGAGTACGAAGGATGGTTATGAGTTCTGATGATATTGGAGATAGCAACATTGGGACTGCAGGTTGAGGACTACTTTGGGATCTGACTCCATTTCCCTCTGGAGATGTATCTTGACATTGTGAGATCGATATCTGAAACATTGTGAGACTCTGTATTCATGACATTTCGGATTTTCGCTACCTCTGGCATTTCAAGATTCCATTTTTGGAAACATTGAGTTGACGTCATCTTCCCTCGCCTCCTCCCTTCGTCTCTCCTCCCCCCTCCATTCATCCGTGTATGAGATCAGCCCCCGGCCTCCTCTTCCGTGTTCAAGGCCAGGGCCGTCACACCACTGATGCATGCTTGTGAGAGACTCGTTGCAGTCTGAGTCAGGGCTGAGTCAGTCTGAGTCAGGGCTGAGTCAGTCTGAGTCAAGGCTGAGTCAGTCCATGTGTATCAAGTCTTCCGCTGTATTTCGTACTTACTCTGTATTATCTGGTCGGTTCTGGGAATCTGCGCCATACTTATGACTGTGTTTCACGAGTATGCAACAGTTTGGAATCGGAGCAGACCAGCAATTGATGAGTCACCATTGATTGATTGATTGATTGATTGATTGATTATCTACACCTGTACTCTGTTATCATTAATAACAAAGTTGCAATCTTACATAGTTAATTAGGTCGCTTGAAGTCCATTTTTAGGTTTGGCGGCTCTCTCCATAAAGCGCACAATTAGAAAATTGCTAATTACGATTAACCTAATTAGCGCTAATTAGGGTTAGTCCTAACCTAATCTACTGACCTATCACGCTATGGGAAGTAAGTGCCAGCCAGGCACCTCGCCAATTAAGGCAAATCGGGCCTGGTGCAATCAGACTCGTTTCCATTCACACTTTTCATGCATGTAAACAGTAGCGCAGCGAACTCGCGACATGCGCCCACTCAAAACTCAGAGATATGACATCCAGATACAAGTTCACTTCCAACTGGCTATGGCGACTCAGCGCCCAAACTACTCACTGTTCACATACCCCGGATCACCTTGGATATCCCACACGCATCACTCTGAACACTCACACATACACACACACACTTCACACTAACTCTAGCTATGGCGGCTATGGCCGTAACTACCCTATCGCTATGCTACGCTCCTTCTCTCTCGCCCACTTCAGCTCCGGGCTCTTTGCAGACCTCCTTGCACAAGTCGCTGTGGCAGCGCTTCCGCATGGCTCACGCAGGAATGAATGAATGGCTGGGCGCTGCCTCTTGATTTATACTTCTGAAACTCGTTGGTCTGCCCTTTGCCATCGACCCATGATGCTCACAGTCCCTTGCAGTACTTGCTGGACTCGACTGGGACTGACTGGACCGTACCGCTGACTGACTAGGGACTCACTGCTATCCCACCGGACTCGTACTGCAATCACACTGCGGTTTAGTCCACCACTTGACTCACCACTTGACCACTTGCCCACTTGCCGACCTTCTAGAAGGATTACAGCTAAGACTTCTGGAACTCGCTAAGACTTCTATCCTACAGGTCTACAACTAAAACCCCTACTACCTACGGACCTATGACAACCTATCAACTGTTTGCGAATACACAGGTCACAGGTTCAACTCTCGGGGTCTACACAGGTACTGTACACAGATAGGGCAAGGTCTAGGGATCGAACCCTGGGATCTCCGTCTGCTACTGCAAAGAGGTGAAAAACGTTTCACTCCGAGAATATTTCAGTCCAAGGCAGGACCTTTACCCTTTCTATCCCGTTCATAGGCTGTGACTATGTCGGGAGCTGTTTCTAGAAGTTCTGTCCTTGTAAACCAGCGGTCGTCTTCCGGTTCTTCATAAGCAACCCGGACCTTATACTGTTTCTGGGGATGACCTCTACCTCCTGTTCTGAACACATCCTCATCTACAATGCCGTCAATGTCATAACTTCCATCCATATCCGGAGGGATCATGGATCTTTTTGAAGGGAACTGTTGACTTGTGACACACGGCAACAATTTTGAAGCATGAAACAATGGGTAGGTATGGAGGTGTGCTGGAATCTCTATAGTGTAGGACGGTCCGTCCTCTCCGCCCTTGACTTCTAGAACCGGCCACGATCCTCTATATGCAGGCAGTAACTTCTGTGAGATGTTCTCCTCAGGTGCAAAGTCCTTAGACTTGACCCAGACTAAGTTGCCTAGCTGAAACTGCGACGGGCGACGGTGCTTACTAGCCTGTTCTATCATTCAGTGTTGGGCCTTCCTGAGGTTCTCAACAACAATTGCTATCTCTTTCTCGTGCTGTATCGCAAACTCCTTGGTATCGGGCGGTAGCCTATGAATCTGATCCCGGTTCAGCCCTTCAAACGGTCTGCGCGGTCTAAAGGACTTGTGCAACTCATTGGGAGTGCGACAAGTAGACAAATGCACGTTGTTGTTATAAGCACTAGCTACCTTGGGTAACATCTCGTCCCAGTTGATCTAATCCGGTCTAATGTACATGCGCAAAACTTGCTGCAGGATCTTGTTCATCGGCTCAGTTTGACCGTTGGTCTCTGGGTGGCGGCCAGACGACATCAACAACTTTGACCCG